CACTTTGCGTCGAACATCTCGCAGGTTATGGGGGTCGAAACCTTTGGCTTAACAGAGTACTCTTGAGAGCCTGGAGACCAATGTGTTGTTGTACAAGTGGCTGGGCAAACCGCACGATTAGCCACGATCGCGAGGACGATGATAGTAGGTGAAACTCTCGTCATTGGCGCTAGGAGCGCCCAATCTGCGACGGATGTTCAGGTAGCTGTGGAGTGATAGTTCAGGCAAGCGAGTCGCACATGTAGCCTAGGACCTTGAGTTTCAAGCAGAACCAGCGGGCCGTAAAATCCTAGGAAGAGGAAATTGGTGAATGTCTGAATGTGGAGCGGAAGAGCGGAGTAGTATAAACCTGTTGTCAACGTAGCGTTCATGCCATAGCGCGCCGAAGTCAGGTAGACGGTCGAAGTCATAGTCTGATGCCAGAAAAAGTCTTCAACCGTGGCAACGAGATTGCACAGTGGAGGTGCAGCGGGCGATCCCATAGCTACTCCACGTCTTGGCTAAAAAGTAACCATTGCTCTCAAAGTGGCTGTTGGCAATGACAAAATCAAGGGACCAACGCGAAACATTGTTGAAGCCAACCTTGATGTCGTACTGATGAAGTAATACTTTGCAAGGCCTGATGAAAACGTTCAACTGGAATGGAAGTGAAGAAGCCCGAAAGATCCTGAGATATAAGTTGAACATACTCGGTTGGGTCCGCAGTGGACAGGGCATCCCATAGCTGAGTAGTGGTGCTGCCCACGGAAAGTAAGAAGTGATTGGTCTGGCTTTGGGCCAGTCCTTCGTGGGTTTGGGTAGGATGCGGGCGGTGGGCAACGGATCATGAAGACGAAAACCCCAGGAGTATCGCTGTTGAAGACGAGGATGAATCGCAGTGACCACCTGAGCGCGGAAAGGTGCAGCGGGCTGAGTGCAGAGGGCGAAGACTTGCCAGTGCAGAAAGTTCTGTGGAGCAGGGTCGAGAAAAGTGTGGGGCAGAGCGCATGAGCTCTTGAAGTAAAATGATCAGCTCGAATCACAACCCAGGGATTGAGAGCGCGAACACCTCCGCAGTCCAAAAAAGTTCTTGTTGAACGTTGTGACGATGTTCATTCAACAATTCAGTCAAAAGTTGTTGGGTGTCAGCTTCAAGGCTGGAGCGTCGTAGATTCCATTTGCGCGACAGTTTCCGTATCTGAAGGGCTCGTAGTTGTTCAACGTCGCCGAAGTACGATGTTGGTGTCGATCAGGGTGTTGATTTCGTCGAAGCCCGAAATGAACACGGCGTGGGAATGAGCGACCGTCGCGTGAGATGAGGTGACATCAAAGCAGGAGCAAGGAAAAGAAGTGGCTGGAGTCCATCGCTCTTGCCATTTGCAATATTTGAATATCCGGTCTTTTAGAGTGGCACTGCGTGTTTCATTGACGCGAAGTTTGGGTAGGAAAAGGGAAGGAAAAAGTTCACGATGCCGAGACACCCAGTGTTGAAGCCAAAAGCCAAGTCGAGATTTTCATTGATGAGCATGAACAGGCGGAAGAAGTAAATGTGTAAGCGTGGTCGGCAAAGTGCGATTCCGCTTCTTCTTGGCTTTGGATCGAAAAGACTCATTGACAAATTCCACGAGGCGGAGGAAATAGTGCAGCTAGTTCGCGCGTGGTTTGAAACGAAGCACCAGTGTTGGACCCCAGTTTGTGCAAAAGGGGACAATGCGCTTGAATATCATGGAGGCCTTCTGGTCGTAGTTGTTGATGAAGATTGGGATGTAAACACTGTCGAAACAGCTCATGAAGAGAAATGGAAGTAGGCAGCGAAAGCGCATGTCGTCGAAAGTCAACCAAATGATCCAGAAAAACAACCGTGCGAAGTATCCTTTGCACCCAAGGGGCATGGAGGCGCGGACGAAGTGTGTACTGCCACTTGGTCGACAAATTTCAATGGGAATGGCGCAGCGATTCCAATAATGAAGTGCCACATGCTGACCACTTATGAGTTGCAGATATTTGCGACATCTGGAGTGTTCTCGATGAACGGCGCTGCCTACGTAAAGTGGAGATCACCATGCTGACAGTCGTACGTAAACACAAAGTTGTTGAAAATGTCCTGGATCATGTAGGAAATCGTGAAGATCAGGTAATCGAGCCCGTAGAGACCGCAGATGACGTTGTTCCGCAAATTGGGAGCACATGATGTTCAGGAAAATGGACGTGTTGTAAAAGTGAAGGACTTCGAAAAAGGCTGGTGCGTAACCGTTGTCTTGAAGTACAAGTCGTTGAAGAAAACAGAGTAACAGGTAAGCTGAAAGTCTGCATTTGTGAAGTTGAAACCTGTTGTTGTCGTTCTTGTTGTTGGGGTGGGCGAAGGCGCTGATCGGCACTTGGCTATCCGGACCATTATCAGTGATTCAAGGATGGTATCAGGTGAGCTAAGTGAAGTCCGGAGCGGACTTCCGGATCGGGAACTGCGGGTCGAGGTTGGTCCGAAAAGGCAAAGGACCAGCGCACGGAAATGAAAGCCAGAGCGTCAAGATAAGACAAGAGAGACTGCCATCGGACCACATCGTCAAGTATTCCACGTCGTTGAAACTCTTCGCACATTTCATCTGAGGCTCACAGAGCTGTGAGAAGAAAACGCACGTTCAAGACTCACGCAGCGCAATACGAAAGACGGCCAAAGCAGCATGATGCAAGTAGTGTCCAACAGCAACGCATGTCTCAAGCCAAGCGCACAACTCAGAAGCAGATTGATAAATTTAAGAGGATCAACGAGAACCATTGAGGCGCGCCGGTTGATTGGCCCATTTGCTCAAGGACTGAGGAGTCGATGTTGTGGGCGCCTTGCCGGCTGTAGATGCGGGTGTGATTATGGTTCCAGCTGTAGTACTGAACGACCTCCTCCGGCTATGAGCTGTGAGGATCAGAGGTGCCGAAGGCCGCGGAGCCTGTGAGGATGGACCAGGCTGTGTAGCTTGGTTCGCAACCTTGCTACGAGGTGACACGCCGTGAAGAGACTTAATCATCAAGAGCAGCGGCACTGACCATCGGGAGGCAACTGGTCGGCGTAGAGGAGAGATGGTGAGTCATGGGTAGCTTTAAGCTGTGCCTGTAGAAGCTCATGCTGGCGTTGCAACTCGTGGTATTGTCGAAGTGTGTCATCACCTGTAGTGCGGGTCGTGATGGATTCATGATGCCTAGTGAGGAAATCTTGGCCAAATGCTCATGGATCTGATTGAAGTCTTCCAAGCTGAGACCCAAAGAATCCGCCAGGTCCTTGCCCAAAGTGAGTAGGTTAAGAGGTTGCGATCGACGGAGTAGTTTGGAGCATGTTCTCCATAGAAGCGCTTCAGTGCGGGTTCGAAACCCTTCCCAGGTAACGAAACGTCTGTGTGCAAAAGGGCGAAGTAGGCAGTTGGAAACACCACTGTGGATGACCTGGATCAGACGAACGTCACGAATGTCCATGCCGGCGGTGTCTTGCTTGCGATTGCGCGGGGTGCTCATCACTGTCGATTGCAAAGTGAAGGAGTACACCGGGTGTCTGTCTAGCAGTCCTTCGCGCAGTGTCCATTCTGCAGGTGGTTGAAGCCACTGCTGTGACGGTGACACAGGGAGTTCGACTTGAGGGAGGAAAGGGTGATGCTACCTGGTTCTGGTAGCCCATGGGTGGGATCATGTGGCATCCCTGGTGGTGGCGGCACAAAGTTCAACTGATGCGGGGCCATGTGATGTTGGGACATCAGGGAGTTGTTGTTGTTGTTGGGCTGCCGCATCATCGGGTTGCTCCAGTCAGGATTCTCAGGAATCATGGGACGGTCATCGCGTTCATCTCGTCGCCAGGCTCCTGTCGCTGCGTTGGCGAACATGGGAACGATCACGTTCATCACGACAAGGCATGGTGAAAGGAGTCTACGTGAGACCGAAGATCAAAACTTGAGTGTCAACAAGAGCGCACACAAGCAGTGACAGATACCAGGAGTCAATCCAAAACTCAAGATCATGTATCTGCGAGCATGCCACGCATCAGCAAGCGCAAATCAAGATACAACGGCGACCCGGAGCGCAGCCAATACAACGACCGCGAGTGAAGCGTTCTATGATCTGGTGGCTGGGTTACCTTTAGTGAAACGTTGAAACGGTTGAACTTGCAATTACGCTAGTCTAATGATCAGCACGATGTGGTCAAATTTTCCGGTAAGATCCCCCGTATCGGGGTGAACGCACTTAAACTCGCAAGGGAGAAGCTGATCCTTCGAGCACAACTGATGAGTCTCGAGTGGGTGGGTTTTCGAGTACAACTGAAGGCTGCGTGCGAAAACCGGCGGCTCAACCAGCAAAGAAATGCAAACGCAATCATGCAAATAGACCTTAAATCACTTGCGCAGGTACACGCGGATGATCAGTCAGCGCTTCCCCCATGGTGGTTAGCTTGGTTGGCACAGGTCACCACCATGGGCCTGCGCCCCTGCTGAGAATCGGAAAAGGTGGCGACAGGGTAAATCTGTCGCTCCGCACACACACGCACGAAACACGCAACAAAACACAGACGCCCAAACACACGGTTTTGTGGTGACACAGCTGCCGCCTGTTTCCCCTTGTCTCGTTGGCAGATTCACTTCTGGAAGAAAGAAAGTACGGCTTGGCCTTGGGCTACCAAAACCGAGAAAACAACCTAAGAAAACCGGGTTTTGCGAAGTTGGGCGCGCAACAAGCCCGTTAAAAAAAAAACGCGTCAAAATACCGATTTGTCGCAAAAAAACAACCATACACAACACCACAATCCTACAAAACCAGGTGTTTCCGTACAACTATTTTTTCCGGGACTCCTGTGTTCAGTAGCTCATGGTGGGGCGTCAAAAGGGCTCGCATTGCTACCTAAAAAGGCACACGACGACCATGAAAGATGGTCAATGTTCAATTGACTGCAAGAGGACGAACAGAATCAGCAAGTGTCAAGGAAACAATTGCAGACATGTCATACTTCCTGGAGAGACAAATGTCGAGTTCGCAGCCGCGGCCTTCAGGCCTAGATGCTTCAGGATCTGTTGACCCTTCCTCTCCTTCGGCTGGCCTTGTGGCTTGGGCAAGCGACATTTTGATTTTGTCAGTCTCATGTTTTGGTTTGCGTTTCGCGTATATGTGTTTTGCTTCGTATTCTGTCCGAGGCCTTCCAGTGGTCATGCGACAGCTGTCCGGATTTGGGGGCAACGGACTCTGCCGTGTTGGTGGCGGGAGGCAGCGCAGGGCCGAAGTTCGTCCCACGAATTCTATAGTGTAGCACAACGCATGTTAGTTCTCCCAGCCATTATACGGCTTGCGATGAAAAACTCAAATGAAATGCCGACACTTCATTGATAGTTGTGTTTGGGCCCAGATATGTTTTGCTGATTGCACCCGTAATCGCTTACCGATTTGCTGCAAAACTAGCCCTGAAGACTGTGCAAGAATGGGGGAAGAACCTGATTTCGCAAGAATCTATTCACATGCAACGAGCTGAAGGCCTTGAAAAAGGATCACGAAATGCCTCCCACATTGTCCAACACTCCGTGGCAGGTGGTCAGTTGCAGGAGGGCATCTACAATTTCAGCGTTGCTGTGCCAAACAGTCCAGTATTTGTGGCGCCTTTGAGACCTTGAATTCAAACCCTTTTGGGAGTCCCAAGATCCAGACCTGGCTGTCTGACTTGTTGACACCACGATGTGGAAGCTGCAAGACAGGATGTGGTTGGAGGGCCTGCCGTGTGCATTCCAAATATGTTAACTGTTAGTCAAGTTGATCACCTTGAAAGTCTGTGCCCAGGTTCGAGTGAGCCAAGGAGGAAGAGCCACTGAGCAGATTGGAGCATGCGGTTCTGAAGGTTCGGCAACCGAGCCGAGGTGACAGAGGCCTTCTGGCCATTGGAAGTCACGAACAGTTCCTTGCCCCCTGTGTCCATTGCCGTCCCTTGGGCCAGCGGGGAGGCCAGAGCGGGAGATTTGGCACTTGCGCAACGCTAGCATGTGACTGGAATGTTCAAGCAAACATAAGCTTGAAAGCATGAGCTGAGCGCATAGCCCGTGAGGCAGTTTCCAAACAGCGCGGCTTCCTGGGCGAGGTGACAGCAGCAGTGCCCTTCAGCGCAGGCCGATATCGCAATAAAGATAGAACGTCACGATACGTCACGCTTCGAGTTTCGACAGGCTGCACAGTGCCCAGCAGTTGGGTTTGGAGCTTCGTCTTGGTGGCAGCTCGGAGATATGGCAGAGACGGGGACGGCAGGCAGTGCAATGTGCGGCCCTCAACTCGCCGTAGGAAGAGAGCACTTCATCCCTGGCGTTCCTGCAAACCACGACGTCCTTCACCGCGAATGGGCTTTACTCTTGCCACCTCTGATTTCCCGCGTGTGATTCCAGGCCTGGACCAGTGACAGGGCATGATTTCCCGCAGGCCGGAGATATTCGTATTCTGTGCTGGTGCAGGCGAGGAAGAGACAGAGAGAAAGAAAGAGAGAAATAGAAAGAGAGAGAAGGACTCCGCGAGTTTTTGGGGAGAGTGCGCGCATTTCAGGAGATATTGACGCTCCAGCCTCCAGGTTCTGTGGCTGAGGCGATTGCTGGTGGAGCCCGAGTCCTTCACTCGTCCCCGCTTGGAACTCGGAACACACGCTCAAGCGATAGCCAAGGGAACAAGGATCAAGAACGGCTAGGGCTATAATAATTATAGGCTACTTTGGCTAGGCTATACGCTCCACGTGATATTGAGATTTCACTCCATGACTCAATTCACAGACGCACTCTCAGGTTTCTGGCAGATGGCCCCCCGTCCGGTGGAACTGTTCAATGCAGTCCGCAGTTTGGATTCGCTGTGACCACAGCTTTCGCTGGCACAACAATGGGATGGAGTGATGAGGATGTGCGCTCAATGAAGTTAGCGCTACTTATGCATTTTTGTTCACACGGGGCAGGCTGGCACCAACTAAGGAAAGCAGTCTGACTTATGCGTTCTATCTTCTGCCACTGCAACAGAGTCTTGTTTGCAAGCGATCGAAGCCAGGCTCACGACATCCGCATGTCTTGGCACTTGAAGCTGTTGAATCAGGAATCTCACCATTGCTTCAAACGGAGGAGGCGAGTGAAATCCGGTATCCAAGACCTCTACAAGTTGAGGTTGTTGGCTGGGATCATGTTGGTCAATCTCCAGATGTTTGGGAGGAAGAGAGAGAGAGACTTACGCAGGTGTTGTGACCGACGGCATCTTCCAGCCACCAGTTGTGGAGCCTTGGGACGAAGTCATTGAAACAGAGTGGCGGGCGCCCACTGCCGTATTTCTAGCTGTTCGTCGCGTGTGTGACCGTCTTGGCTGAAATTTGCCAGGATTGGACCAACGTGAGCAGCCCATACTACTGGTCCACGATGGGGGGCATATTTCTCACAAATGTCTCGAACCCGTTTGCCGCGCAATGGGAACTGCAGGCAGGGACTAATTCGAGTCCAATCTTGGGAGAGCCTGAACTCGAGTTGCAACAGTCAGACCTCTCGACTCAACTCGATGCCTCGATGCCAGTGGTCGAGTGGTCGAGTGATCGAGTCGAGTCGAGCTCGAAGGCGGCGGCTGGCAGCTATGCTACGGCGGTGGTGGCACGTGACCGCTTAGGAGCCGTTTCTGCATCCTACGCCCCGGGACCGCTCATTGAAGATCCACCAGGCCGGGCGCGACGCGATGCGACGCGATGCACGCGATGCGACGCGACAGCTTGTTGTCACTTCGGTTGGGTCAGTTTCGTCTAACGCGTGCGAACCGTGCATTCTTAGCTTGGCAAAGACCGCAGCTGAAGTTGACATCACATTCTGAAAGGCATCACTTCCAACTGATCGACCTTTCGCGCAGCTCGTTCGAACGAATGGCGAACAATTCGTTCATTGACTTGTCGTTTTTTTTTTCGATCATGTTTATCGAGTGTTTCGTCTTTTCATGTCTTGTATTCTCGTTTTTTCACGTCTTCCTTTCCAGGTGGGGTGGGGCCGGAGTTGGCCCTGTCCTTCCTGGAGACGATCGTCACCAGCCACGATGCTACGTACATCCTCAGCGGCCTCCGTCACCTTGAGTCAAGCCCCGCGGAAGAGAAAAGGAACAGAAACGAATGGAAAAGACTCGGAAAGGACTCGGACTGAACGGACAAGACGGAGACGAGAAAGATGAGAAAAGGAAGCAAAAATCTTGAAAAGCATGTTGGAGTGTTCACAAGTGACGAATTCTTGCTTGCCATGGCCTGCAGGCCAACAGCACGGTTGATGCGGCAGCGGTCTCACAGAAGATGGTAGAGGCTCCGGTTTGATTCAGGATGTTTGATTTGGGTTCAGGATGTTCAGCCAGATATCGGACTGATTGCATCCAGGCACTCAGCTTGGCAGCCGATGTGTTGGAACCCTCTGAAGAGAGACTCTTGGCTGCAGAGTTTCCGGAATCGCGGGCCGTTCTCCGCATGGACTTCCCCGAGTCCGTGTGGGTCTATTTGAATGCATGTCCGTGTGTTTTGTACTTTGCGATTCCGAAGTTCAATTCCGAATTCCTGTGGCTCGACACGCGAGGTCTTACCAGTTTCGGCACAGTGGTGAGCCACGGTCTCAAGAGCGAGCTCTTCGGGAATGACATCCCAGGGGTGTCCAGTGCACTGGACGTTGTGCTGGATGTGACGCGGCAGAAGCTTGAGGCAAGAGACAAGAAATGGAGAAACGAAAGTGAAAAGGGACAGAAGGACTGAGATATGCTGCATATGCTGCATATGTGGAGTGCAGCCACCCGAGGCATCGTTGTCCTTCGAAGGCCCGGCTGAAGGACTCGCAGAGCACAAGAGCCCCTATGCGTTTGAGCATGAGAAGTTTGCAAGTTGCCAATAGCTGCGGGCAGTTTGGCAGTTTGCGGATATTTTGTTTAAATTTACAGGTTGAAGTTTAGAAGTTTGGAGCTTTGATTGTTTGGCGCTCTTTCGAAGTCCCTGAGGTGCAAATCAGCCCGCTGGGACGTCGCTGCTGACGGCGGTGGCGGACGTGTCGGACCGCCTTGCCGTGGACGGCAGCCTCTCGGCCGTGTCTCATGCGGCCTATGCCTCGAAGCTGCAGGTTCTTGTGCCTTGGCCGAGTTTTCGAGTTTAGACGTGAAATCTTCTGCTTGTATTGCTTTCTTACTTCACATTTGCTTCTGTCAGGTTTCAAAGCTCGGGAGTGCTGTGCTGTTGCAGCTGCCAGATGGGGGCGCGGTCCAGATCTCATCGAGAGGGCTCGGCCAGCGGGTGGCGACTAGGCAAGCCATAGGAAACCACAGCTAACCAAATTGCCAAGGCAAGTTGCGCGAACTGCAAACTCAGCAAAGGAGATTTTGGTCCTCAAGGAGGCCACAAGCACCGCCACAGAGCTTGGCCTTTCGTCAGGAGATGTGCAGGCCTCGCATGACTCGCATGACTCGCATTCAGACAGTCCATGGACTTGCCAGGTTCCGGGCTCGGCGTTGGTCGGAAGACGCCTCGCTGAGTGCAACTCTGTCGCGACGCAGACCACTAGCTACGTGAACAGCGCGGAGCTTGGCCTTTTGCACATTGCGCATTGTACAAACATTGCACATGCATGCCTGAGGCAATCCGTTCACGTACTTGGACTCCAGTGGCTTAGCAGGGATGCAGTTTGCAAGCGAATCACAAGTCCAGCTAGGAGAGAAGGCCTTTTCTGAAGCCTTACGTACTGCGTTTGCGTGTGATTTGCCATTGTCCTTCTTTGGCTTTGTGCTTTCTTCTGAGTGTTTTTTCGTATGTTAGGTTTGGGTCTGAATGCGTTCGTCAATTTGGGCGCCACGGTGACAACATTGGAGATCAAGAAGTGCCTCTCCGTGGTCACCAAATCCGCCTTGGACCCGCCCATCGCCCTGCGCCTCCCCCTGAGCCTCAAATGCAACTCAGTGAAAGAGTCACAAAAAAGAATCGCAAGTAATGCAAACGAAGCCAACAGGAAAAGTCAAGAGAAAAGAGAAGTCAAGTAAAGATAGTTCAAGTAAAGAGAAGTTCGACGTTAGAAGTAGCAGCATGTTGCGCTTACTCGGAGCACTCGGAGAGGTCAGAGAAGTGGGCAAAGGGGCATATGAGAAGGACAAGAAAGAGATGAAAGAACTGCGGTAAGAGATGAAACAAAGAAAGATAACCGCAAGCAAACATTGCAGGGCTGCCGCCCTGTACCGCCGACCCCAGAAGGAAGACCAGCACGAGACTTGGTCGCTGCTAAGTCGAAACTTGCTGACTCCACAATATCGAAATATTTCGAACATGGACGGGCTCCAAAATCTCGAACAGCACGAACCCATGGACCGTGTGGTTATTGGAAATGACTGAGCTGAGCTCAGCTGAGCTGATTACTCCGGTCGTAGAGGAGCCCACCGAAGCGTCCGAGCGTAAGTCATAAGTCTCCGAGTTTCGGCTCTCGGCTCTCGGTTCAGGTCTTTCCGGCACCAGGTGCACCTTGCACCTTGCCATCGGCGTGGCCCTGAAAAATGGATTTTTACACCTGGACGGTTTACACCGGGAAGACGAGAAGACAACCTGCACGACCCATGTGGAAAGACCGAAAGACTACGGGAGTACTACCCGTAGACCCGAAGACTGGAAGACGGGGGGACTCTTCAGGTCTTCGCGTAGTCTTAGACTTCCGGAGGCTTACCACGGTGATGTTCTCAGATTCCTGTAGCTTTTATCACGTGTTTTTTGCGTAGTCCACTGGGTAATCTGAGCCAAGACGAATGGAAATAGCGGTCAAACATGCAGTAAAAGCCACGCGCGAATCTGAGAACATCACCGCTCTCAGAAACTAGTTTAACAAATATGATCCCAACCAAAGACAGTTGTCGAGGTCCCTCAACATCACACAGATATCTGCGCACACGGTGAGAAGCCCAGGTCGTTTCTTTGGAAGGGGCCACGGGGGACGTCGCCCCGGAACGCGACTGATCACTCAAGATCAACTGGGTCGATTACCTGAGGTTGCCGAAAGGCTCAGATCAAGGAACCCCGGCGCGCCCAAACAGTCAAAGATAAACACGTTCATGGAAGACCTGCCTTCCATTCCAACGAAAAAACTCGCTGAACTTGCGGTTGAAAAGGCAAGCCACGTGTTTTGGACATGCAGGTAGGAACGGTTTTGACGTGATGTCTTCCAGCGGACAACGCGTGACCATGAAGATGTTCAGAGAACAAGCGCCACATGTCAACCTCATGGCACCTGGGCACGGACCACGGTCAAATGTGCAGTGCTGCAGAACATTGAGAAGGGCCAGCAAAAGGTTCAGGAGAAGAGGCGACGCTATCTTCCGATGGTTGAACTCGTGGCACCCACGGCCAAATTCGAACAGAGGCACAGTCGGTGTTCCAACGTCGGGGGCCCCGAAACACCACGACAATGGATCCTGAATTGCTCTCAACAGTGATTCTCGTCAAGTCGAGTCACCTGGAGTGATCTTGATTTTTGTTCATCTGGACTGCAGGATCCTGAGACCAAACTCAGATGTCTCACGCCGACCAGCCACCTTCACAATTTGGCAAAAGAAGTGGTGCGACCGATTTGCAGAACCTATGAGAACTACACAAATTCTGCGAAACATCAGCATCAACCAGTAGAAGGCAACACGGATAGGACCAGATTGGCATAGATTGGCACAGGTCTAGCCATACCAGGATCTTGCTCCGCTCGACCGCGAGGTGTGTTAAAAGACGTTGATGCAATATTAATATCCACCCGGCACCGAGACCGGCTTGTTCTGACAAGACCCAAATAACATTCCATTGTCGCAACATGTGGATCGGATGCAAAAGATTACGGTGCTTCTTACACCGTCAACACCTTTTTGGAAAGCTCACGGCCTATTATAGCGCGGCAGGTCACAACATGCCATTCAAATCCCCGCCGAGCTGATGCGTGCGTTTGCTTGTGGCAACCACCTCAATCAAACCGCATATGGGTCATGCCAGCACGCGTGTGTGACGATGAGTTTATTCCAAGACAATGGCGCTATGCGTGCAGAAAACCTGGGCTATCTGGGCTCATTTCCGAAGCGCCGCTCATCAAGCCAATGCCCATTCATGCTAACAAATCAGCTTCTGGCCCTAAGTTGCCCAACACAGGAGACACATCGTGGTATTGCAAAAATGTGCGACGCTATACCTTGTTACAGACTTCGTTACCCAGCCATCATATACCTCGTTACAGACCCAACCCCAGCCCGGGCCAGGGACCCCTGACCCCCCTTTGCCATCGCCAGATTGGCCAAGCGGGGCCAATACAACAGCCAAATATGTAGGCCAGGCCTCTTTGCTCTCTATTTCATCAGTTCGGGTGTCAGCTTTGTGCCATTTGCGCTGGCAGACACTGGGCCACCAGGACACCTCACCGGGACCAGCGCCGCACCAAAAGTTGAATCTTCAAAATCGGCGATGTTTGGCACGCTCATTCGGCACAGTATACGCCTCCAGGGTCCAAGAAAACCATTAGGCCAAGGCCAAAGGAGGGTGCGCAAGTATGTTGACCGACTCGTTCTGAGGAACCCAAGCATCGGAAGCCCGCCAGAAGGATTTACCTTCGAGCCCGCTTGCGTTCGGCTGGACAAGCAGCAAGCCACGCAGCAGGCCCTTGCGACACAAGTGAACTTGCCACTTTTCCGAAGGTTCCACTTGTTCTTTGTATAGATGGGTTGACCCTGGCACTCTGTTATATGGCTTGCGTTGAATTTGTGAATACTTCTATGGGAAAGACACTGGGGCATTTGCTGTGAGCGCTTGGAAGGCGTTTGATGTGTTAGGGCTGAATGTGAGGATGAACAAGACTCACTGAAAAGAGCTGTAAGCCGTTTGAGCCCCCGGGTACCTGGTTTGTATATTCCAGGGCTGGCAAAACTTGTTGCTGAGTTGCATTGCCATCAAACTGCACTGACACAAATGGGCCATGGGTCGCCTTGTGCAATCACAGCCGTCCCTTTGATCAGCCAACTGATCCCTTTCATCTTGCTGTTTCCCGAGACAAGAAGTTCGCAAGGTGTGGACCACGGCGGCTATGACTTGGCTGCTTCCAGCGGTATATGCAGCTACATCCATCGAGTGCTATGCGACTGCTGCAGGTGGTGTTTATGCAGGAGTTTTTCTCCCAACACCTCTGCCAACTGAGCCGGCGCCGACTTCGACCTCAAGTTCCACCACTTACACCACCCCCGTTTCAGGATCTGCCAGGCGCAGACAGCGCCAACGCCGCAGTGCCCGGCTTGATCATTGCGGGGCTGGCCCTGGTGGTTGCCTGCACAGCTTTGGCTTGTCAGGTGCAACGCAACGTTCGGGTCAAACCAGCCAAAGACTCTGACGCCTGGGGCCCAAAGATCGACCCAGCAGAAGCACGACAAAGGCAGAGGGATGCTGAAGAACATTTCTGGACCTGGGCCAGCGACATTGCCAAGACTCCTTCGGGCGCAAAAGCGAGTCCAAGTCTGGGTCCAGCCAGTCCTGGGCCTCCAGCTGTTCCTGCTGGTTTCACCGAGGATTACTTCAAGGAGTTTGCTGAGGAGATGAGAACTTCAAGGTTCGGTCCGTTTCCCGGTTTCACTTTGCCCGGCGCGGTTTCGGACGTGCCTCCCCCGCCGCCGAAACCGAAGCTTCGGCTGCCATTGCCCCCACCACGTCCACCGGCCAGAGCTTCACGAGCTCCGCCGGCCCTGCCGAAAGCGGTCGAACACATCCAGCTGTTGGTCGACCCAGCCTTTGTCGATTGGGCAAATGAGTTCTCGCTGAAAAGGGCAGAGGCAACTTCTGATGTCCCACCCCCACCACTACCCCCAATGGCGTGGACGGACCCGACGGACCCGACGGACCCGACGGACCCGGACATGCCAGCCATGCCAGCCATGCCAGCCATTCCAGCCATGCCAGCCATGGCCTTATCCCCGTCGGATGCTTCGGCCTCGGACTTTGCAACTTGGGCCAATGACTTCCCGCTCAGCGTGGTGGATGCCTCACCTGGCTCCTCTGCGCCGCCGAGACTTCAGCCGGGCTTGAGCTCAATGAGCTTCGGCTTGAGCTCAGAGTCGGCCTTTGCGGCCTGGGCCAGGGACTTCCCAAGTCCACCCATGGCAAAGGCGAAGAATGTCCCACCGCCGCCGCAAAAAGCACCACCGCACGCACCAGAACATGGAGGACATGGAGGACATGGAGGACATGGAGGACCGGGGCAAGACGGAGCGAGGCCACTGCCAAAGGCAGCATCAGCGTCTCTGGTGCCAAGCCCCTCGCTCTCGTCCCACCGGGCGTCGGCAAAGCCCCGCCTCTGCCTGCATCCCGGCAATTCCCGGCATTTCTTCGCATGAAATTGCTTCAGACGAAACCAGATTTGGTGCTGAACAGTCTGAAGTCTGCGCAACCTGGGTCTGAGGTATCTATCAGTAGCCCCATCAGTCCTCCACCACCACATGATCCGGCGAGCGACTATCGCAGAGCTCCCACAATACCCGGATCGTGACTGCCTCAGAGTCAGCCAACCCTTTAACATATTGATATGATAACGTGTTCACGGTCGTCTTCGGAGTTCAAGCTGAGGTTGTGGCGACCACCTGAACAGCTGCAGCGGCCACCTCCGAAAGGCATCTTTAGATGCCACAAGAGTGCGGGTGCGAAGTGAGCGAAGGCGCACCTGGCACTCCCGGCATGCCGTCTCGCACAGCACTCGGAGAGCAGTTTGCGCAATTTGCGCAAAAAGCAACACAAGCAACGCAAATGGCTTGCAACTGCGTCTTGAGGTGACGGCCTTCCTACGCCGCGACGGTAGTCTGCAATATCGGGATCAGCAGTGTTTGCACCTCAGATTTTGTGTTTCATCAGTGGCTCACTGATTGCTGAGGCACCAAGGCGCTGTACATAGGGAAACTTCATCTCAATGCGGATGAAACAGTGAGGATTGAAAGCATTGCAGGTATTTAGGAGCCGCTTCCGATGTCACATCACATTGACGTTAGGATACTTTGCGCCCAGTGTGGAGCTCGCCCTTCCGAAAGGAATGGAAAGGAAGAAATGGACAGGAAAAGACAGACAGCGAGCATTCAGAAAAGAAACGGAAAGGGATTTGGTAGAAAATGGAATGCGCGCGAAGATGAAGGAATCGAATGGAAAGGAAATGGAAGAGGCTGTAAATGGAATGAAATCAATAAGAGCAACAACATCATTGCGCCCCGCAAGGTGTGCGTGTGTGTGGACCGATTAATATACTTCAAGCAGGTTTTGTGGACCAAATATAATTTCAGCGTTGGATTTTTCTCTCTTGAAAATAGGTAGAACCTGGATTACAGTTAGGTACTACATTTAAAGATGCTTGTTTTTAATGCACATATTAATTTGCGCAGCCCAAATACGTAAAAGCCGCACGTTTGCGGCCGCCTGAATTTCAGTCATTTGCAGACTTAGGGTGGTCCTGTTGGTCCAGTTGGTCCAGTTTGCCCCGTGATTCCAGTGATTCCAGTTGGTGCACGTGAGCGCAGTGGAACCAATTAATTGCACCAATTGCACTACGAATTAGACCAATCATATCATATCGAGTTAAGCTGTAAATGGAAATGAGATGACGGGCGCCCTGAAAGGGTTATGTTTCCTGTCACAGCAAAACAAGTGCTAAAGAAATTGGAGGACATGAACAGGGTATGGAAAGGATGATGGAAAGGACAGGGCAAGGGCACGGAAGGACATTGTGAGAATATGCAAAGTAGATTGAAAGAAAGGATTCTAAAGGACATGGAAAGGAGTGGACAAAGAGAATGAGAAAGGATATGGCAAGGAAAACCGGCATGATGTAATTCTTTACGCCGGGAATTGCGAAACGGGCACTTGTTTGGCCACGGCTGGCCTTGAGCAGGACATTTATAACCAAGCACGCAAGCACGCAAGTTCATGTCAACACACACTTTTTTTCGAGATGTCATTCCATGCCATTTCCTTTCATTCAACTTCTTTCCATTCTCTTCCCTGCCATCCAATTTCCTTTCCATGCTCTTTCCATTCTCTGTCAAATTTCCTCTCGATTCCTTTGCATCTTTGTGTCCTTTCCATGTCTTTTAAAAAATATTCAGTATCCTTGAATTCCTTTCCATCAGTTTTCCCTTCTTTTCATTCCCTTCCTGCTCGCTTCCATTTCCATTCCTGTCCCTTTCCTTTCTGTTTCTTTTCCCCCTTTCCATGTCCTTTCTTTTTCCTGCCATTTCTTTCCGCTCCGTCCTTTCCATGAATTTCCTTTCCATTTCCTTTCCCTTTTCCATTCCGTTCCATTTCCTTTCCAGTTTCTCTGCATTCCTTTTCATTTCTTTCCATTTCCAGAATTGCCGGCCCTCTCTATTTCCTTTTCTCATGCCTTCTATTTGCACCCCGCACCCCAAACGCAAAATCAAAAAGCCTTTTCGCTCATGGCGAGTGACGGGGGTGTCAGATCAGTCAGGCAGTTTCCCTGCAAAGCGACTTGGTGATGCTGCGGATGTCACTCCAGTTGACTCTACCCAGAGAGAATCCGGGTGTATTGGGCATCCCTGAATGCAACGCCCCTTACCATAAGCTTGACCATAGTCACTAGCAAGAGAGGCAACAGACACTAGCCAAGTTTTTCACTGCTTAGCACCGAACCAATAGCGCAATGATGAAGGGGCCTCTACATGTAAGTACACATCACAGAACGTAATTGCACATCTCAAAATGCTCGAGTAGCGTCACAAAATGACCCCACTTCACAGGCATGTGACCCAAAGAGACGTACAGCGTAAACTGAGCTGCAATGCTTTCGGAAATGCAAATGATTCTCGGACAAAGATGCCGGGCGCCGAGAGGCGAGCTTTTGCATGCAGTGTTTCAATGACACAGCGCGTTGCGCTAGGATTTACAACACTGCTGAGCAGCTGTTTTCCAGGGAGTGAATGGCAATGTCAAAGCCACATGAACGATGAAAGTAAAGTTTTCAATAATGCCAGCTTCACCTGCCCATTTTACAATCCGAAACGGATTCAGAACCAATGAGTTGTGATGCACTTGGATGCCAGCAGAAAAGGCATGCGGCTTGTGATTCAAGGTGTCGAGGGCTGTTCGCACGCGTCACCGACAAAACCAACTCTTGTCTTCACTATGTGTGTTTATTCATATGCGTCAGGCACTCGGGCTTGTGCGTGATTGGACCTAGCGCCATTCGATTCCGGCCATTGGCTTGCAGGAAATGTGACACAGCGCAGCACAGTTGCCATGAATAGTGCACGACAGTGAAGATGTGTTGCATTGATTTGTGTTGCATATTGGCACATATGTTTCTGCTGCAGCATCATCTTGCCAATCGTGAGGTCCGCGTCACTCGGAGACACTTTCCGAACTGCTGGGCATTGTTGACGGATGTATCGAAGCAGTAAACATGCAATTTCGCTAGCCACTTGGTTTATGTTGCCATATGCACTTGGCAAGCATGATGGCTCCATGTCACGTAAGTTCTCTGAAAGAGGTCGCTGCTTCAATTGCGAGGCATTCAGATTTCCAGGGTCAGCCAAATTTGGCTGCGGGCTTTGAGTCTGTGTTTTGCGCACGTGATCTTTCCTTTTCAACAAGTGGCATGAAGCTGCCACTTGGTTCAAGATTTATGCCCTCCCGTTCAGGGCCTTCACGGTGTCGTCGGAAAAGAGTTTCCGGCGCCGCAGCTTGTAGGCGGGTTGACGCTTGGCCTTCCTGGGCCTGGACATCTATTGGTTTTCGTAGTTCTCATTTTCCAAACCCCCAACTCCTTCAACTGCTCCCCCGAGCGTCGGGTTGGGTGCATCGTCGGCACCTTGTGCTCATTTGACTTTCTGGCTACTGCTTTGCCTCAAAGGGTGCGGCGCTCTGCATGTCACTTGCATGTCTGACTGTCTGAGACTTGGGGGCGGGTTGTCCCCGCCGAATGATCGGGTCGGGGAGGGGTGGTTGCACCTTAAGCGATCATGGTAATTCTCCGTGACAGACGGTTGCCGCGTGCTCTGTGTGTTTTTTTGCAACGAGTGCCACGTGCGCTGTGTTTTTTTGCAACGGTGGTGTTCTAGGCGGGGGGGTTGGGGTGTGTTGCTTTTGCTTCGCAAGTTGACCCTGCAATCACCACTAATGTTTTGGCTCAAGGCCCCTCTTGTACAATAGTTGCATTCATCCTGCAGCCATTACAAAAGGACCTAGCAGAGCGCCTTGCAGGGATATATCGCACATTATCAGAACCAGGGACATCCATTCTCAGTTCCTCCACTATTAGCATATTGGACTCTCTTGCAGAATAGATCCAGGGCCGAACCGCACATTTTCTACTACCACAACGTACCTGCTCCCTTCGGGGAT